CTAGAACCGCCAATCGTGTCGATTTGACCCAGAGCTGTTTTCTATTGTGTGTAACTTTTTTTCAATAAAATATTAAAGTCTTCCAGTCCGTGACTTTTCCTGAAAGTGTGTTATGTAGCACCCTATGTTGTTAAAAATTGTCAATATGAAGTCAGATTGAAGAAATCGCCCAAAAAATTGCCGTTTATACCTATTTCCGCCCAGCGGGTCATATTGACCCCACCCCTTTTCATATAAACATGACGTGTTGCTATAGCAACGCCTTTTGTCTACTGCGGTTCCTTATAGCTTGAGAGATAGATTGAGAGAGAGAGAGATAGATGGATAGATATATTGATAGATAGTTATAGAGAGAGAGAGAGAGAGAGAGAGAGAGAGGAGAGAGAGAGAGAGAGAGAGAGAGAGAGAGAGAGAGAGAGAGAGAGAGAGAGGGAGAGAGAGAGAGATAGAGACAGTCTGTAGTGAAGGAGTGAGCTCCCGATCAATACATCTTATCTTATGTCTTAATATGCACCTTGTCGGGACAATAAAATAATACAAAAATATTTCAACGCTCTCTACGTGTAAGTGACAAAAGAATAACTAATGCAGGAGCTGCCTTTGCAAATATTGTATTTCAGTTGAGTGCATATTCACATATGACTCTGAGCGTTAAGGGCCCTGGAGCTTTTTCCAAACTTGATCATAATCTTTTGGGAGGCGTGTGGTGCAGTGGGTTGTGCGTTGGTGTTGGGCTCAGGGGGTCACAGGTTCAAACCCCACTGCAGTCAGCATGTCGTTGTGTCCCTGAGACACTTCACCCCAAAGTGCTCCTGTGGGGATTGCCCAGTATTCAGTATGTAAGTCGCTTTGGATAAAAGCGTCTAACAAGTGTCATGTGATGTAGTTTCTAATCCATCATATCTTCAACTTGGAGAAATACTCGTGACTTTATTTGAAAAAAAGGAACAAATTGGTTAGAAATACAAGCACCATGTCTTACATTATAGCTTTTGAGAAGTACAACTCAAGATGCAGTTTTTTATATTGCCAACAATTCTAATTAAACAATAAAAAACTAAAGACCAACAAGTGCATTATGTTAGAACACTGATTAATTATAGATATTATTAGGGCATTCAAATAATGATACAGGCCTGAGTCAGGAAGTGAAATTATTGAGCAAGTGAGTGTGGTTAGCAACAGGAAGTGTGCAAATATTTGTAAGAGAGATAAAAAGGCAAAAAGAGAGGGAGTGAAGGAGTGAAAAGCTGACGCTCGGTTAGAAGTGTTTGCCGGAGGCCACATGTCTAAATGGAAACTGGCTTGTTGTTTCCTCTTAATCATGAGTCAATGCTAAACTAAGTATTAAGAATACAACGTGTTAAATGGGGAGTTGAACCGCTCTAGATGTATGAGGTAGATATGAAAGTCACTGCATTACAAACAGTAGATGGCATTCGAAGACGCCCACGATTCGGAGAAAGTACCGACATGAAGCTAAGCAATATACAGCCGTTGACGGAGGAAGCAGCAAAACACATTTGAGACAACTCAATAAAATCCATATTAGTTTAAATGTATGTTTTATTTATATGATTTCCACTGTTTCACCTTGCTGTATATGCTCTCTTCAAAGCCACCAGACTCCATTGACAAAAAAAGTCATTTTACTTTGCAGAACACACTGGTTTGGTTGTGCTTTTGTGTGACTACGTTAATCCAAACTAACCTTTTAAAACAGCAATAACACAAACTTATCATCTTTTTGAGGCAGCGATAAACCAGCAGTTTTTATCAATGGTGTCTGGTGGCTTTGAGCAGAGCTAATGGCTCTATGTCTGAAAGGGCAAGGTAAACCTGTGAAAGTATTCTTAAATGAACATTGTTTTAGATGGCTAAAATACATTTCCTGTTGGTTTCTCCAAACTGGGGCTGTGCAAACCCTCATTTAATACAATGACCTTGAATAAGACCCTCATACAACCTCACTTGAAAACATTTAAACTGAGTCTTTAACCCAGTAAGGTTTCTTTGGTTAAATCCTGCCACTAAGGTAAAACCAGCAGAGCAAAACTTACTGTAGGTAGGTCATTGTAAGTAATAGTTCATATGACGCACATGTGTCAAACTCAAGGCCCGGGGGCCAAATCAGGCCCTTGGTGGATTTAATTTCGGCCCGCAGGATAATTTGTAATTACTATTAGATCTGGCCCGCCGGTATATTGCACGCACACCTTCACTGCATCCTGAGGGTCTCCTCAGCTCAGAGCCTGACCCCAAACATTGATGAACTTGCACCCAAGATGAGATGCCAAGTATCTGGCTTGAACTAGCATCACAGAGCAGCACACTCAGTTTACATGTTTCCTTCTGCACTTTTCTCTCTCACGACAACAGAGCATGTTTGGTTTGTTCTTTGAGGGAAATAGTTTTGTTGAAGCTGTTGTTGGCCTGTGGAGAAATGTAACCATAAGAAATGACTCTGGAAAAGCTGCAGATAGAGCCATAAGAAATGAATGCAACTGATTATTTAATGTTTAATGTTGTTTTTATAGGCAATCATTTAAGCTTTGTTAGTTCCAGGTTTAATATGTGCAATAAGTTCATTTCAATAAGTTCTGCAATAAACATTGAACCAGTCCGGGCCTCGAATAGTACGGATCTTTTTATTTTGGCCCACTGTGTATTTGAGTTTGACCCCCCTGATCTAAGCTTTTCAAGAAACCCAAGGACGCTTAACAATAGGACGAGGGGTCGAGGGGGGTGAAAAGGAAAACAAATAGCCTTGACAAACAGATGTGTTTTGAGTGCTTTTTTGATATCAACAGAGTCAGCGGTCCTGATTTCAAGTAGGAGGTGTACCACATTTTCTGGTGTTTACACTGTGATATAAAAGATAGAAGAGAGCTTTTGAAAAACATTATTTAAGCAGCTGAATAGCATTTATGTGTGTTTCCCCTGTTCTCAGTGTGCAGAGGAAACTTAACGTGCTTGATATTATTTCAGTGACGTCATAGTGGAAAGATGTTTTTCCCTTCTTGTCATCCTTAAGTATACACACACCCTCACAAATATGCAAACATTTTACTCCACTCTGTCTCTCTTACACAACACACTTCTAATGCACCCTCTAACCTCACAGTTGCTATCTAAATGCCTCAGCCTTTTTCTAACATTAACCCTAAGTCAAAGGCCTCAAACACATTTTGAGGAAGCACAGAAACAAATGTTCTCACCTTACAAAAATGTCTTCTCTCTAGTAATCCCCCTGCCCCAAAAGTCACATTGTGAATGTGTATGAGCCTGCACTGTAGACTATTACATGCTGTCATGTTCCAGGTAAAGTCTTGTGAAAAATGTAGGCACGCTGGAGGGTTTACATTCAGTGGAGAAAGAAAATATCCCAGGGCCTATTCTGTTGTTTACCTCATAATATTGTACATGTGTTGTTCAGCCACTGTTTGTAGTTGTTTTGTGTCTCTTTGTCAATGAGTATCTTTGTAGGTGTTTTATTTATCTCTGTTCTTGTTGAGGGTCACTTAGTAATTGTTGTGTCTTTGTGTAGTTGTCTGTGCTAATTTGAAATGGCAGTCCGTTTGTGTCTTCTTACAGTTCATTTTATTTTGTAGAATGTCTGTCTATTTGTGGTTCTTCTGAGTTGTTTTGCGTCCTTTTGTAAAATATGTTAAACTATCATTAAGAAAAATAACTCCTGTAATACCCCTGGGTTTGGCTGCAAATGCTCTACATCTAACTGAAGCAATTTCTTGTAGAGATGTTAAGAAAGAATGGCTCTTCGGCCTCCAGAATTTGCCTACAATCACTCTGTATTTAAATAATAGCTTTTAATGTATCCCCTCAGGCAGTCTGTACCTAAACTGTGTGATCTGTGGTCAGATCTGCTGCTGCTTGTCATAGCCTGTTTGTCAGGTCTGTGTAAACTGAATGAACTCTGAATAGATTCACTCACAAAGAATGTGCCAGGGGAGTTCACACCCACACAGCCAGGACACCTTTCCTGCCTGGCCCTGCTGGTTCAATCCCATTTTATTCAGATTGTAATGCAATATAATTTTTTTTTTACGATTGTGCATCGACCGAGGCATTAGATTGAATTACCTAAGATTTGACGACACATTCCAAATATCTTCTACATTAACTACAATATTAAGGTGTCAGTGAACACACCACCAAACAACTTTCTCTACTCAGTCTGACCACGTTATACAAGTTTACTGTGTTAATGCACCTCACGTCGGAGGGTTTCTTTCACACGTTTTTTGTTCTCAGAAAAGCACCTTCTTCCCTCTGAATGACCCACCCGGCCGCTGTCTAGAGAAATACACAGCAATGCAGAGTTTCCGGTATCGCTTTTCAATATAAAACACGTAACTATTGACGCGTAATGGCAGTGGCAAGCTCATGGCTGTATAAAGGAAAGGGCTTGCTTCTCAATCTCAATAGTTCTTGTATGTAAATTACTGCACCAAAGTTTAACAATACTCTAAAGTAAAACTCCTCTCGCCTGCTTTTTGGTGGAATAACTCAGGGTAGATACAGATCAAATATAGGTTTAAATATAGGCCTGCAACTCATGTGCCAAATCAATCTGTATGCACGCGAATGCAAGATGTATGGTTACGTAGAAAAAACACAAGGCTTAAATGAAATTAAGATAAAAGATAAAAACTTTAAATAAATACATGCATAGCAGATTATATACTATTTTGTCTAACTATGCCTGACTACTTTTTCATTGCTGCTATTATGGAGACTACACAAACAAGCAATATAAAGTGTTTTATAGCACTTGTGATTCCTAGTCAATGTATTATTTGACGTTTACATTTCCATTAAAAAACATTTATGATCCATCTCGTTTTGTGAATGAATGGGATTTTTTTCAATTACGCTTTTATTTTTGCGACAGAAACCCTTCACTTCCGGCTGTCTTTTAAGTAAATGAAGTATCTTGGAGCTTCTCACTTCTGAACTATATCAATCTGTCTAATATTTTCTGCCTCGGCGGGCGGAGGTCGAGGAGGAGGAAGACGCTTCAGCTGAAGGAACTCAAACCACCAAAAAGTGAGTGAAATGTCCGAAAAATAGACCTGTTCCCAAAGTGATGCGCAAGAGTTTTAATAAGTATCTTTTGAGACTGTTGAGGAACTGTCTTAAACTGCCCAGGGTTTAGGCATTTAAACAGCATGCAAACGACTGACTTTAAAGGACTCAACTCAGTCAACTAATGAGGTTTAGTGGTAGACAGTAACGAAGTACTTACTAAAGTAGAAGTAGTACTGTTTTGAGGTACTTGTAGGCTTACTTAAGTACAGAGGTGGAAAGTAACTAAGTACTTCTACTCAAGTACAGTACTCAGTGGTTTAAAGTAACTTAGTACATATACTCAAGTACTACTTTGAGGTTTTGAATGTTTCCATTTTCAAGATTCAACTCAAGATTCAAGGTTTTATTGTAATGTGCACAGCAGCTAGTGTAGATATGGCAATGAGAAAACTGAAGTCACAGGCTCCTCCAACAGAGCAACATGAATATATATGGGACATAAAACAAGTCAAACAGATCAAATAGTGCAAGAGAATGTTTTGAGATGTGCAAGTAAATACAAATAAAATATAAATAGTGCCCGAAGAGTCTATACAAGTAAATATGATATATAAGATGCAAACAGGTGAATGTTTATGGATGTTCTTTACAGAGTTCTGTTTTTGTGCTTCTTTGTACTTCTACTCCACAACAAATCAGAGGTAAATAGTTTTACTCCACTACATGTATTGAATACCTTTAGTTACTTTACAGATGTGGATGAATGATGTGAAATATAATCAGGTCTTAAATCAGACTTTAGTTCACCTGGAGTAAATCCCAAGCTACCCTGCAGTATACAAAGACATTCAAACTAGCTGCACCTTTACCAGCTTTGATAACACTTTAATGATCATTATAAAACATATCATATCTCATATAAGTACAAGGTCTGGGTACTTTGCCAAGTATTTTCCAGTTCTGCTTCTTATGCTTCTTCTCCACTAGACTACAACTCAGAGCCCAAATCACTTTTATTACTTTGAATACATAAATGAATGTACAACATATCATCAACATATGCCTAATTATCATTTATCATATATTAAATAAGATGGAGTTACACTTTATGAATCGCCTTGATCAATCCCAGTCCAGCAATTTGCTTAAAATAAACTTACCTTGAACTTAAATTAATCTTTAAAGCAATGAAAATGATATACAATAGTATAGAATATATTATTTTGAAATTAACATTTTACAGAATGTGTGTCTTTATTTGTGTATTTTTTTTACTTTTAGATACATTTTGATATTGAATACTTTCACTGTAGTATTCCTAACTCTTACTGAAGTAAAGAGTACTTTGTCGACCTCTGTCATGGACAAGGCGGCTCTAAAACAGCGAGTGGGAAAGCTTACCTTGTTGTTTTACTTACAATTTTTGACCTTTCCTTTTGTCAGTTATCCAGTAACAACTTAAACAAACTGTTTACATTGTAAGTAAATAGTGCTGCCTAATGCAAATATCGTATCAGTCCATCACGTGGCAGCCCAATGCCCACGGCTTGTAGACCTCGAAGTTCAAATTAATCACCATAGTACGAAAAAGTTTAGGAGAAAATGACTTCGTTTCAAGACCAATTAACAAAGTCAAACACAGGATGTTAACATTAGTCAAACTGTGTCAATTGAGCCAAACCTATTTTTCAGTCCAATGAGAAAAGATAAATTGGGGGAATGAGTCCAGTCTGGATTGAATCCATTTGAGGAGCAAACACGATGATTCAATAACATTATTTCCATTAAAATGAGCAAAGGGCTACATTTTTATACCTCGGAGGACAAACTTCTTTTAACTTCATGGTCCTTTGAGCAGCTTCCTCGAACTCTGTATCCTTTCTACTTAAAGGTCCCATGTCATGGCCATTTCTACTGATCATAATTCCATTGTTGAGGTCTACTAGAATAGATTTATATTGTGCAATTTTACAAACTCACATTGGTTTCTCATACAGCATCTCTGTATAGCATGTGTATTCACCAGGTATTCACTCTCTGTCCTAAACGGCTTGTTGGAGCTCCTGCCCCCCCCCCCCCCCCCCCCCTCCCTGTGAGCCCAGTGGCCGTCTGCGAGACAGCGAGACACATAACCCTATTATAGTGTTTTTCTCAGATATATACAGAGCCTGTACCTTGGTTGGTGATTGGCTAATGGTTACACAAGACAAAACATCGTTATGACATCATAAAGTGGCCAAAATCTGATCAGCTCATTTTCAGACAGGTTTTTATAGAAATGGATCAAAAAGAGAGAGAATCTTTGTTCCTGAAACTTTCAGAGTCTCTTTCCACAGAGGGGGACACATGTTGATTGAAGAAGAGACTATGAAGAAAGAAGAGGGGGGACACATGTTGATGTAGAAGGACATGAAGAAGAGGGGGACACATGTTGATGTAGAAGAGACATTGAGGAAGAGGGGACACATGGTGATGTAGAAGAGACATGACGAAGAGGGGGCACATGTTGGATGTAGAAGAGACATGAGGAAGAGGGGACACATGGGTGATGTAGAAGAGACATGAGGAAGAGGGGACACATGTTGATGAAGAAGAGGACATGAAGAAGAGGGGACACATGGTGATGTAGAAGAGACATGAAGAAGAGGGACACATGTTGATGTAGAAGAGACATGAGAAAGGGGACACATGTTGATGTAGAAGAGACATGAGGAAGAGGGACCATGTTGATGAAGAGAGACATGAAGAAGATGGGGACACATGTTGATGTAGAAGAGACATGAAGGAAGAGGGGACACATGTTGAGGTAGAAGAGACATGAAGAAGAGGGGACACATTTGATGAGAAGAGACATGAAGAAGAGGGGACACATGTTGATGTAGAGACATAAGAGGGGACATGTTATACTGAAGATGGATTTTGCATAATAAGTGACCTTTAACATCTTCTCCACAGGAACCCAGTGTGCGTCACTCAGCTCCCGACAGTAATGGCGACCACCGTGATGGATAGAATCGGGCGAGTGTTCATCAGCCTGCAGCAGATCAGGGAGGTTCCCCAGATGCTGAACGAGGCCGCCCCCTCCATGCCCGGCACCCTAAAAGACTCCGAGGTTCCCACTTACTTCAGAGAGCGCTTCGTCAGCACCGGCTACCGACCGCTCAACCAAAACTGGCGCTACTACTTTCCTGTCTTTATTCCAGCGCCACAACGAGGACAATCAACGTCTGGGACTCACCTGCTGGCGTTTTTAGTTCTTCTGATTAAATTCAGGCAACTCGCTGAGACCTGTGGACTTTATTAGTGATCCTCATTCGTGGCCCCTGTTGATCCTCATGGTGTCTTCCTTGATCTACACAGGTTTCAGGTACAGTAGCCCACCCTGCTGGGGGGCGAAGTCTGAGCTGTGTAATTATAGTTTCTTCTTCCTGATTATGTTGGGGTCGCACAGTATCAGTACGGCAGTGCTGTGGTTCACTTTTACTACGCTGTGGAAGAGGCTTCCACAGACACCGTTCATGGGATTCTTCATGGCCTGTCGCGACCTTCCTCAGCTGTCTGTCATGTCTGGGATGCACCTATGGGAAGTACTGCAACCACAGACGTCCCATGTGGGTGCGTAAGGTGTGCCAGGTGGTGCCCTCAGCACTTAGCTATATGTGGGACACTAGCCCTGTGGCATATAGATTCATGTCATGGTATAAGAACAGCGATGATCCAGCGGTTTTCTATCATTTTGGCCAGGTGGCTTTCTTTCTTAGCTGCAGCTTCTTCTTCACCTGTCCTGTTTTAGAGCGATGCTTCCCTGGGCGGTGCGATTTTGTGGGACAGAGCCATCAGATATTCCATGTCTTTCTGTCTTGCTGCACCCTGTGTCAGATCCATGCCTCCTACCTTGACTACGTGGGCCGCAGGGAGCTGTACTCGCGTCTGCATGGGAGCGATGAGGCGGGTCTCTTTGTGGGACTGTATGTGTTAGTTTTAATTGGTTGCTCACTTATTGTTTTCTTAATGCTAAGGAAAGTCAAAAAACTGCTTGGTTGCAAGTCCAAATAATAGATAAGAGATTGTAGGAAAGGCATTCATGTGCCTTTATCGCCTCAGACTTACTGCCCATTTTCCGAAACCCTAATAGTCAGAGAAATGTCAACATTGCCTCAATTGTTTTTTCCTATAACGTTGAAGGCCTTTACTTGCCTACTCTGCCTCTGATTGGATAGTACTTGTTGCCTTTATGTGTTGGGTTGTTTAGGTTTAGACATTCGATTAGCGTGGCCTTCACCATAGGGATAACGGGCAGTTGCACAAATGGACATTCAGATAAATGGATTTTGGGTCTATCGGGACATATTCAGACAATTAGAGTTTCGGAATTATAGAAATTAGGGCCCTAGAAATGTTGGGTGTTTGTTCTTGGGATAACAATCTATCAGACAAACTGGCTTTGGGTCCAATGGGAAATTGTTCTGACTATTGGAATAATAGTCTATCATAGACTATCTGAATAATGGGCCATCAGAGCAATGGCGTTACACATTGAAAGAAAGGGAACTAACCATACTGTATACGCTTGTTTTATGTAAATACTTATTTCATTTTGCACATTTCATAACTGTAAGGGCCAGATTACAAAAAGGGGTGGCGAGTATTTTGGGACTGAATTGTATTTGTATAGAGTTTGTGAAAATATCACATTTTTAAAGCATCAGCCAAGACTGGTTTCATATAACTTTTTACAGCTTATAGACATTCAAAAGATCAAGAATATAAAAACGAATGTGTGCTTGTTGCAAGTTCAGACAATATAAACTAGTACCATCACCAGAAATCTACCATTCATACCGTAAACTACAATGTTTCTCCATGCCGGGCCTTGTCATTTGCACATGTTATGTAACATTTGGCATAAAGGTGGTGCTGGGTGAGTGTTATTTTGTGAATGATGCTGTTCTCAACCGCCAAATGCCATCAGATCATTGTCCAGGCTCTTCTGAGAGGAAAGCCTTAGGATTTAAGTTGCCATTTTCATGGTGTTGTACATGTACATGTAGTTTGGACAAATTTGAGAACTTATGATGACATTTAATTGCTAGTGTATTACTTACTATGATAGACAGACGTTGGCATGCCCCCTGTCAAATCAATATTCAGCCTTGGACGGGGGCAGCAGCAAAAATGTTTAACACGTGAATCAATATCAGTTTAGTGTATGCCAGATTTCAACATTTTGTCAGTGCTTTACCTTTCTCTCTCCTGTGTTCTTGTAGTTAATATGACTGTTTAACATGGAGTGTGGCGGCTTTGAAATGAGCATAGATAACTTGTTTCAGTTCCCCGTCATAAAGGGATGTCTGACAGCAAGGTCAAGCAGTAAAAGTATTACAAAAAATAGTGTTAAGCTAATTATTCTCTCATCCAACCCTATTTCGAGAAATCAAAACTGTCTATTTAACATGTTGTCCTTTTGCTAGCTCCTTTTTAGATATAGCAATACACTGCCTTGAACTATTTAAGAAAGATAGATATTTTATGAGGGATTTAATATATTAGAGTCTTATATATTTGATGAATGTTTTGTATGATCACTGTATTGTGTCTTATGGGGAATCTTGAATGCTTCCCGTTTATTCCATAAGGGGAGAAGTGAATGTTGGTTTTAAACCAGGGTACTTATTACAGATGAAGGTACCATATTATTGTACATCTATGAGAGATTACTTCGTAGTGACCAAGATGTGAAGAAAGTTAAACAATGATCTTTTGGAGACAGAGTGTGAAGGCAGATATCATCTTTATAAAAGCACGTTTTCTTCTCATAACCTCTTTGAGTTTCATAAGTGCAAAAAGGGCGAGTTGACCTTTGCACACTAGTGTACACTTGTCAGTGACAAAACGGTCATAAATAATGGTTAAAGCTCACGCATACCGTACTATCTGATGTAACACTCTGGCTCTGATTATTTTTGGATTAACTCTGATTGGAAATTGAGCTCTACTTTATTGTGCCTTAAGTATTTTGATATGAAACGGTTATTTCTGTTAATGCACTTTCATTTTCTCAACATTATCTCAAACCTGTATGAGTTGTGATTTCCTTGCTTTAGCCAAGTGAAGTTAATGTTGTTAATACTGTTGTGTAGGTATAGATATTTTATGCTGGTATTATTACCAGCAAAGTAACAGCAGCTCCTGTAGATCGGTGGACCCAGTGGCGGTCCTAGAGTCTGTGGGGGCCCTAGGCAAAGATTCACTGGGGGCCCCTCGAACCAGCTTTCATCACCATCAGTGGCGCCCCAACACACTCTCCCCCTTACGGCGCGCTATGCATGGGGCCGCCTTGAGGGGGTTTCCCGACATGTCGTTGCAGTAAATTAAAGGGTGTTTCATGTTGTCGTTGCTGTGGACCTTCTTAATCTACCTTCTTTGGGGGCCCCCTTCTGGTCCGGGGCCCCAAGCAGTTGCCTGCCTTGCCTGTTCGCAAGGGGCGCCCCCTGGGTGGACCTACATCTACAGAATGACCTGCAGAATGAGACGAAGTGATATTGCTTGTAGGGGTGAATTATGTCATGTATTTCAAGGTTCAAGGTTCTTTATTGTCAAACTAACATAGCTACAGAGTAATTATGTCGTTGAAAATCTTATGTCACAGGCTTCTCCAACAATGCAACATAATAATACAGATAGTAAAAGTAATACAAAAAGAAAAATAGTTCTAAAATAAAGTGAGTATGTGGAATAGTGCAGTACGAGTCTATATACAAGTTATTGGAATGATATATATTAGATAGTAGATATATCTATATTTCATTCAATATTTAACAAATACGTAAATCAATATGCCTTTGAAATTAAAAAAATTAGGCGATATATATATATATGAATTCATACAAATAAAGACATTTAAATGAGTATGCATAGACTAAACCACAAACCATGAATTAGAATTTAAAGATTGGAAAATAGAGAAATGTGGTATAGTGAATCTAAAAATGAAATAAAATCATGCTTTGAAATCTATTTATCTATAAAACAATAGTGACGCATTTCTATATTTTTGTATTTACATTTGTATGGCCTCGTGTGTATTTAGGGATATATTGGATATTGAACACAATATTGAATCAAAGATGGCATTACATAATTCATTGCAAAAATATGTGTGGTAATAATACAGCCCCTGTAATTTCCCTGTTAAAAAGAGTTACTTTTTTGTGGGGATATATGTGTTAATGCAGGTGCTGTATTATTTCTTTATGGAAGAATTGTGGAGAAATATGATTGTTATTTGGTCTCCACAGCCATTTGCAAACTACAGATACACTTTGATACCTAACATGTGTGTTGATACTCTGCAAATCTTGTCTTGCCACTTTCACTGTGCCTTATTGTTCTGATTCAACATGGATTTGTAGTCCAAGATACTATGTTAGGATTATATGCAAAGGAAGCATTTCCTCAGTAATGAAATAAAACATGTTTCATAAAACTGGATGATGTATTAATACAATTATTAAAAATATCATTAAAAAATGTCAAGCGTAAACAAAACAGAACCAGTAAAACAGAGATTTCATGAAAAGAGAGTCCTTGTAGGAAAGATGTCAGATGTAACGAGTACTCGCTTGACTGGTATTCAGTTATTTGCCTGTATTTGTGAAAATAAACGAGGGCACGGACAGGCAACATGTCTTCACTTCTACTCGTAAAACAAGTAACACAGACATTTGAGTTGTTAATCCTGTTTTTGATGTCCCTGGGTCTCTTTGGAGACGTTTTACATCGCTTTGGAGTTCTTTTGGTCTCTTTCTAGTCTTGTTGTGTCTCGTTGTTTTATGTTTCTCTTCCTGGTTGTTACGTGGCTCTTGAGTAACATTTTGTAGGTGAAGGCCAGCGGGGCCAGTGACGGACTCATCGCCTAATATGATCATTAAGCAATCCATCTATTGCTATATGTTCCAATAAATGTCCCACGGCCCAAGTGTGCTAACTCATATCTCCAAGACTGAATACCTATGCGAAAAAATGTCTGCAATAAACTAGTCAAAGAATTGTGCGTTGGTGTTAGGATCAGGGGGTCACAGGTTCAAACCCCACTGCAGTCAGCATGTCGTTGTGTCCCTGAGACACTTCACCCCAAAGTGCTCCTGTGGGGATTGTCCACAGAATTGAGTATGTAAGTCGCTTTGGATAAAAGCGTCTAACAAGTGACATGTAATGTAATGAAATGAATCATCTGTTGCAAACATCATATACTACAAGGTCTCTACAGCAGAGTGCGACTCCTTACACTGATAAGTCTGTTTTTATACAGTTTGAATTATACATGCTCAGTCATGAGACAATATAGACCCATGACTATGTCAACTGTCACGGCCTAAGAGGTTATATCGCACCTTGTGACTTGGTCATTCTACCTAAAGGATGTTTCTCAATTAAATGTATATATTCGGGCATGTAAGGATATTTGATTATAATTTTAATTTCCAAACTCTTTTGAAAGGGTCCTTTGCACCCAATGGCAAAGCCTGAGCTGCAGCTGATTTAACCCTTCGATGCACGAGTGACTGGACCCTACACTCTTCCATAAGTGGGTCAAAAAGGACCCGTATTAGAATAATATGTGTTTTTATGCCATTTTTGTCATTTTGGTTAAGAAAGATCACTTGTATAATATTTAGTATTATATTTTGGTTCACACTAGAAATATTTTATATTACATTTTTCACTTTTTATAATTTTATAATTTCTTTTACATTTTGAAAAAAAAACGAAATTCCATAGGAAATGCATGCGGGTCATTTTTGACCCACTTATGGAAGCTTGGGGTAGTAATACAAAAACTACAATTTCTTAAAATGTATAACATTTACATTTTAAATGTGAATGGCATGATATCCAAAACATGTTTTTTGAGGAATAGCTGGAATATGAAATGATACAAAAATGTAATTACAAAGATACTCTAAGAAAACCACCTCACCGGGTCAAAAAATACCCACTTATGCATCTAAGGGTTAAAGAAAGCCCTCTGTCCAGCAATTGTTTTTAAACCAAAGCCACAAAGATGGAAGGCCCATTAGTATGCACCACTTGGTTCAGTTACTGTGCAATGCCAGGAAGCCAGGGGGCTCCATTGTGGGACTCTGCCATTAGTCCTGAACCTATTGAGCATGAACCTCATTTGGTGTTCTGTTAACACTATTTACAAAAGTAAATCCTCTCCAAGTGTCTTCTCTTTCAGAAATAGGGTAGTGTTTTTCTCAGAGGGACCAAGTGCTAATGAAATACCTACTGCCCCCAAGTGGTCATGAAAATAGCAAACTGCATTGGATTAAGTCAAACTGAGAATCTACTGGGATGCAGAGACCAAGACAACAGGTGGAAGATGGTTGGGGTAGTAGGGTGATGGGGAAAGGAAGAAAAGTCTAAAGGCATCTGGTGGATGGAAGGAAATCAAAGACTCCTATAAAACTAATAGATTTGTGTTGCAAAATGTTAGTATGTAGTGTCTCTACTTTAAAGAGTCCTCTCCTGCTGATGTTCAGGTGTATATCAGTATGTAGTGTCTCTACTTTAAAGAGTCCTCTCCTGCTGATGTTCAGGTGTATATCAGTATGTAGTGTCTCTACTTTAAAGAGTCCTCTCATGCTGATGGTTCAGGTGTATATCAGTATGTAGTGTCTCTACTTTAAAGAGTCCTCTCCGCTGATTTCAGGTGTATATCAGTATGTTTAGTGTCTCTACTTTAAAGAGTCCTCTCCTGCTGATGTTCAGGTGTATATCAGTATGTAGTGTCTCTACTTTAAAGAGTCCTCTCCTGCTGATGTTCAGGTGTATATCAGTATGTAGTGTCTCTACTTTAAAGAGTCCTCTCCTGCTGATGTTCAGGTGTATATCAGTATGTAGTGTCTCTACTTTAAAGAGTCCTCTCCTGCTGATGTTCAGGTGTATATCAGTATGTAGTGTCTCTACTTTAAAGAGTCCTCTCCTGCTGATGTTCAGGTGTATATCAGTATGTAGTGTCTCTACTTTAAAGAGTCCTCTCCTGCTGATGTTCAGGGTGTATATCAGTATGTAGTGTCTCTACTTTAAAGAGTCCTCTCCTGCTGATGTTCAGGTGTATATCAGTATGTAGTGTCTCTACTTTAAAGAGTCCTCTCCTGGCTGATGTTCAGGTGTATATCAGTATGTAGTGTCTCTACTTTAAAGAGTCCTCTCCTGCTGATGTTCAGGTGTATATCAGTATGTAGTGTCTCTACTTTAAAGAGTCGCTCTCCTGCTGATGTTCAGGTGTATATCAGTAATGTAGTGTCTCTACTTTAAAGAGTCCTCTCCTGCTGATGTTCAGGTGTATATCAGTATGTAGTGTCTCTACTTTAAAGAGTCCTCTCCTGCTGATGTGCAGGTGTATATCAGTATGTAGTGTCTCTACTTTAAAGAGTCCTCTCCTGCTGATGTTCAGGTGTATATCAGTATGTAGTGTCTCTACTTTAAAGAGTCCTCTCCTGCTGATGTTCAGGTGTATATCAGTATGTAGTGTCTCTACTTTAAAGAGTCCTCTCCTGCTGATGTTCAGGTGTATATCAGTATGTAGTGTCTCTACTTTAAAGAGTCCTCTCCTGCTGATGTTCAGGTGTATATCAGTATGTAGTGTCTCTACATGTCTCCATACTTTAATGATCAAAAAGCTCTTTATTTTTCTCATACTGCCTGTGCTGCAGCACCTCTTTTCACCCTCTGTCTGAAACCAGAGCCCAGTCTGCTCTGATTGGTTAGCTGACGAGCTCTGTTGTGATTGGTCAACCCCTTAGAGATATCCCACCTCTTAGCCTATCATGCACAAAAGCAAATTTAAAAGTCTCCGGAGTCCATCTTTACACTTAACAGACAGGCATGAGAGTGGTGTTAATCACAACGTGTCTATCACAACTGGACCTTCTGTAGACACACACACACACACACCCACACACACCCTCCGCAGATTCTACAGATGGCCAGTCCGCGGAGGGTGGAAAATACATACCGGAAGTAAAAAAAGACTTGCAACGGGACGGTGATCCCACGGGAAACAAAACTTAAAATATTAAATGTAACAATCTCATCTCTTAAAATTCACAACTTATTATGAATTAAACATTCACAAACTTATAATTATGTATTCACATGTTTAACTATGTTACATATGCACGCAACGAACAGAAGAGCGTAGGGCAGAATTAGGAGGGAATTCCGTCTCGTAGCGTTTCTGCACCATTTTGAAATGCCGCTCTAATGGCGCATTTCCACCACACGGTCGGCCTCGGCCTCGCTCGGTACTGCTAGGCCGCGTTGGGCCTTGTTAGGGCCGGCTCACTTTATGCTGCGCTTCCATTACAGTTTAGGAACTGGGGTAGTTACTATAGTAACGCAGTGTAGGCGGAGCCGTGACGTCATCTTCAATGAGAACCCCAGAAAAACAACACAGCCGTTAGCTGTTAGCACTCAGAGCTCACAGCTCCTCATATATGTTCAGAAACTAGACAAAAGTTAAACAAGTACAAACCACAGACTGCCTGTGTCATGGTGAATACAGTCGCTGCTTTATTTATGTCTGTAGGCCGTTGTTGTGAGTGTGGACGGTCGGAGCATATACTGCGTTAGCTTAGCCAATCTCCATTTAGAAAACACGCATTTTAAAAGGTTTTTCGCCTGCCGTCTGTCTGCAGACTTGACAAAGCATTAATTCATGGTTTTTACTAACCGGTATCAGTATGTTGTTACTTCATCATTTAGAAACGTGTATCACAATTAAATCACGGTCAAATATGTCCATCTTGTTGTAGTTGTAGCCTTCTTGCCAGCGATTCTCTCTCTAGTTTAGCATACTCAGCCCGACTCAGCCCTGTTTGTTGGCCCCGATAGAACCACGATTTTGTCGGCCCAGAAAAGAGGTGAAAAAGTACCCCCGGGCCGGAACTAGGCCTAGTGGAAGCGCAACCAAAAACGGGCCCGGCACGACACGGCACGCTTAAACCGCGCTCCGCGCCATGGTGGAAATGCCCCATTAATTACCCTTCTTCGGTAAAGCCACGCTCGCATTGCAGATGAGAGACAGATGGACTTTGAATTGGAATGAACAAAAAAATAATCATCCTCCCACTCGGAGTGAAAATGATATATTTTGGGCTTTTTTGCTGCCATAATTGCGGTCTTGTGTGTGTGCGGACTGTCACTCCTGTTGATCGACTGGTTGGACAACCCTGATCAAGATCCTCTGTCTCGAGCCAGTGAACTACCGGGCCTTCTAGAATACCCTGGAACCGAGGGAAACTCTGAAAGAATACGCCCATTGGCTACAAATCAATATATGATTGGTTGATCAAACTGTCAATCCAAAGGTACGCTCTCATTCAGTGCAACGGCCAGGGCCTTCTATCAAGGATATAGAATACCTTGTTGAAGGATATTCTACCCAGAGACCCAGAACAACATCTGATTGGTAGCATTTATTTTCTAACACAAAACCACTGAAATGCGTCGTGCATGGACCGAGAAGGACAAACAAATCAACGTAACACTGTAATATTACAGATCAACAACACAGATACCATTCTCATTTATTCATTTTATTACATTTTATTTATATAATTAAATCGATTTTGTGTTTGTTTTATCTGAGTGTTCCAGGGTATTCTCTGAATACCTTGAAGGCCTGACGGTTCGCCTCTGTGTTAAGCCTTCTCATATCTCAGATGTATATTGTAAAAGATGTTTCTCTTCTTAGCATTGGGATCTTGCTGTTTGTTATCACATGGATCCATAGAGAGAACGTGAAAATGACCCTTCTGCCTCCCCCAAGTTAGGTAAATCGACATGTGTTTTAGATGAACACATTGTCAGAGAGACCTGTAGTGTTCTCATGTCATGATGAGATCTGTTTTTCTGCTTCCTCCGGTGCAAACCTCAGAGGAGATATTGTTCCCTTCACTGAGATGTATTTTTCCAGCTCCAGCCTCCCTGTGTACATGGAGTGTAACTCACGGCTCAGTTACTCACCAAAAACCCTGAATCAGCTGAATCACGGCGCTGTTGGACTCTCTCTCACATTCCTCCCGTCTGACTCACAATAGAAAGGGGCCGACCGGCTTCCCTCATGATAAATACTGAATTACATTTCATCACTGCTCATTAAACCTAATGGGGCTCAACATACTTTGCAGCAAGCATCGATACACAGATGATTGGTCAGTGTTCTACATAATGTTGTCTCTAACACAAAGGTTGTTATAATTTGTGCGGTCTGGATTCTAGTTATTTACTGTTATAGAGGGATCCCAATCTGAATCCATTTGGCAGCCATGTTGAAGTTTCCTTAAGCAACACTAAATCTTCTTTTAAATTGTGTATACCTCACAGAGAAGGGTTCATTGGAAAGAGAGGTAGATTATTTTGTTAAGTGAATAGCATGGAGCTTGTGCTAAGGGGAGACATGTTGTATCACGTGAATTGATGCAGTCATCAAGGAATATGTGTTTTGGTGCCGAATGAAATATATCAATAACCTTGGCATGCATTATTGTCTTGTACAGATTCTCATTGTCCTCAGATGATAAATCATGCTGACTTTGGGACCACTGGATTTGCATGACCATGAGGTTGACATTTTTTGGTGAACAGGTCTTTACAACTACTAGATGGATGGCCCTGAAATATATTAAGATATGCTGACTTACTTCCTGATCCCTTTTTTTTACCAGCTAGATTTTATATTGGCTGTTTTTATGATTTACCGTTTAGCTATTGCATGTGCATGTGGGGACCAGCGTGTGGTCTGTGTGTGTGTGTGTGTTGTGTGTGTGTGTGTGTGGTGTGTGTGGTTTGTGTTGTGTGTGTGTGTGTGTGTGTGTGTGTGTGTGTGTGTGTTTATGTTTATGTGTGTGTGTGGTGTGTGTGTGTGTGTGTGTCTGTTTATGTTGTTGTGTGTGTGTGTGTGTTATTTGTATTATGTGTTGTGTGTGTGTGTGTGTGTGTGTGTGTGTGTTGTGTATGTTGTAGTTGTGTGTGTGGTGTGTGTGTGTGTGTGCGTGCGTGTGTGTGTCTGTTTATAGTGTGTGTGTGTGTGTGTGTCTGTTTATGTTTGTGTGTGTGTCCGTCTATGTGTGATGTGGTGTGTGTGTGTGTGTGTGTGTGTGTGTGTGTGTGTAGTGTGTGTGTGTGTGTAGTGTGTGTAGTGTGTGTGTGTGTGTGTGTGTTTCTTTTGTGAAAGAGGGAACAAATGAGACAGAGAGGCAAAAAAAGGGGGGCTAATCACTGAGGAGGAAAA